TCATTTTGCAAAGATTTAAAAGTACCTTACCCTTCAAGGTCGCTACCAAAACTGAAAAAAAAGAATCCAACCCCAAACCTCCCACTCCCAAAGCCAGACTTGCCTGTGTTTATCATCTCTGTGTCCTGTAAGCATTAATCAGAAAGCCTCTTTGGCTGGACATAGGGGAAATAAAAGTTGCACTGATTCCCACACACAGAGCTCTGAGGCTGAACAAAGGCAGAACCACAAAGGCACACATCTGTTTCTGTTCTTTGCCTGGAATTTAAAAACCTATTCATTAGACCTTTTTGTGGATGGCTCACCCACCCACTATGCGTTTTATCTGAAGATGATCGCATGAGTTTTATGACATTTTTGCATGTTTGCCTTGCATGCATTTAACATTGCTAAGTTATTTAATTCAGCCATGCCTAGGTCTTCTCTCCAAGTTCTGAAGGGGCTTCTTTGTAACTTTTCTTACATCTGAACTTGTTTTTCAGTTAGCTCACACCTTGTCTCTCCCTCCCTGCCTAGAACCATTTATTCAGCATCAAGTGCCTAAGTAAACTGAGCAACAAGGGACCCACAAGTTTTTCAATTGCCAAAAGCCTGGGAAGCCTGGGGAAAACGGCCCCAAGGACCTTCAAAACCAAGGGGTCCGGGGCCCGGCCCCCAAGCAGGAAGCCTAAAAAGTGGGGGAACGGAAAACCTGGTTCCAAACCAAGGGGAACCAGTTTGGAACTCCAACCCCCAAAAACAAGAAAAGAGAAAGTTGGGGTCCTTTAAACCAACGAAGTGGGGGAAAATGGGTGCAACAACAAACGGAAAACCACATAGAGAAGTGAAGGGGCGTCACAGAGACAGTTTGGAGGGGGCACAATGGCAGTCTGGAGATGGCCCAGCTGGCTTACAGCTTCTGTTCAGCCCCAGCCAGTATTTCTTAGAGGGACTAGAGGGTCAGAATTGTCAGATTCTTCAATTTTCCAAATAAGGTGAAAATACAATTTCCATGTCAAAAAAAAAGGGGGGGGGGGGGTGCCTAGATGTGTGGTCCAAATCATCCACTCCTCATAAACAGTGAAATCACCCCCTTTTAAAACTGAAGAACTAGAACATCAGCTTGTGGAAGCAAATCGCTCAAGGTCACATAACTTGCCAGCAGTAATACTCCTTCCTTCCAACCTGACTTGCATTAGGAAAAAATTAACTATATATGTGAATTTCAGAAGGCAAGACAAATTGACTATCAAGTTACTACTCTCAATTACACCCAGAAAACAAATATGCCCAAGACAGTTTATGCCGGAAAGATCCTGGTGCCCTGGAAGGTGTCAGGGCCATCCAAACATCACACTTAAGCCAAGAGAGCAAACAGAGGCCTGAAATTACAAAAGAAGCTCAAAAGGTCTGGTAGTTTAAAAAAAAAAGTTCCACATACCATAACCCAAAAGTCTGCTTTTTGAGTAAGAGTTATTTTCTGAAAGTCAGGACAGCCTTTACCCATTCGTTTATTCTTTAATTTGTTCATTCATTCAGCAAAGTTCCATAAACATCCCCTAAGGAGCTTATTTCAGTCATGGAGACAGGGGCGTAACCAGTAAATAAAAGCTATGCGAGATGGAATGAATTGGAAGAGGCCCCAGTAAAGAATTAGGAGAGTATCCAAAATGAATAATAATAACTAATCTTCCTGGGCACTCATTACGTTCCAGGCATTTTCTAAGTGCTTTACACGTATCCGTTTATTCAATTTTCACAAAACCTTGAGGAGAGCAGTAGCCTTCTCCCTACATTTAGCTTAGAAAATCAGGCTCAGAATGGTTTCATCACTCACCGAAGATCACAGAACTAATAAATGGGTTTAGATCATCTGGCTCCACAGCTTGTATCTTTCATCATCTCACTCCAGCTGTCGGGAGGACAAGGCAAGTGTTGTCGCTGCTTCTAGCCAGAGGGATTGGGGAAGGCTTTGTGGAAGAGGTGGTATTTGGGTTAAGCCCTGAAAGTGAAGGGAAAGAGCATTCCAGGTTGAGAGGGGAGATACAGAGAAGCAAAAAAAAAAAAAATTGTATTGGGGGTAAGCAGTTGCTAGCAGGAGTAGGTGGACAGTGTGGATGGGGAGGGTGAGATCTCTGGTAAGTTTCATATATTATTCTGAAGGTGTTAAGAAGTCAGAGTTTTTCTGAGCAGGGAAGGGCTCCATTCTAATACTTTCTATGTATCCTTTCAATCAATACTTACTTAACATCTAATTAAACACCTGTTTGAACAGTTAATTTAACACCTAATATTGAGTGCTGGTAGAGGGGAATTGTTTCTGCTGTCAAGAAGTACACCTTAATTGAAGGCACAGGAAATAATACTTCAAAAAACTGTACCACGAATTTAAAAACATGACAAGAGGTGTTCCAAGGCAGTACATGAGGAGTTGTTCAACAAAACATTTTGTGAAATTTGGCAAACTTCAGGGTCTGTTAATCCTCTCTCTGGCTTGGGTTAAGGGTTTGCAAGGGCGGAGTAGGGGAGCCAGCCGGGGAAGTTCGGGTGCCGCACACAGGAACAAAACAGTTAATGTTGGACCTGGCTCCCCAGCACCCGCTTCCTAATCTGCATCATGGCTAGGGAGAGGAGAGTTCCCTGTAATCAGAAGCTAGGAAGAAGGCACTGGCTAGAAATAGGAGCCTATTGATTCCCTTGATTCTAAGTGAGAAAATTCCAAAGCTTCTCTCCTTGACCGCAGTCTAATGATCTAAATATCACTGGGGAAAACAGTCCAAGATTTGGAAATGGACAGGGGAGATTACTAGGTTTCCTTTCAGGGGAATGCTTATTACTGCGTGCTGTAATCTCTGTGATTTTCTGATTCTACAGGTTTATGCAATTTGATTTCTTATTGGCCAGGCTATTTTTTTTTATCTCTGGAGGAGTTGAAGTAAATTTGTAGAAAAAATTATAATAATGCAAAGTTTCTTATTTATAGCAATGCAAGTGAATTTTGTCTGGTGAGGATACAACTGATTTCTGTAGAAAAGGTAACCCCAAACATTACATTTTATTGCATGAAGATATTAACCAGTTTTAGCAGAACCATTTTATCTTTCCTCATTGCCTCTTCCTCAAATTCTCCTTTGAAACAGTCTTAACATCTTTCTGGTGGCTTCATCCGTTTCTGGGTAGCAGTAAGATGCCCCCTAATTAATCTTTACTGTGAGACCATTGTATTTTTACATTAAAAAATGATTAAAAATCATGCTTTAACACTGTTAATTCCTGCAGGTTTTCCAGCATCTAGGATAATTAGAAGAAAGGAAATGCCACAGTTTCCATTAGTGAGCCAAAAGTCGTTTCCAGAAATTGTAACTGAGGTGCTTGTTGGCAATTCTTTGAGAATTCTAAATGGAGTTTTAAAACAAATGCTTTATGAGAATTTAGAAAGAAAAAGGAAAAAACATTTACTATTATATTGCCAATTACTGCACTAGGTGATTTACATATATTATCATAACCCTTGGGAAATCTTTGAAATAGGTATTATTGTCCTAATTTTGTAGGTGAATAAACAGGAAATATTTGATTAAGTATTGTAGCACCCATCTGCAGATCAAATCACATAAGTGGAAAATTACTGTAATGGTTCATAAACCACGGCGGTTAAAAGGGTACATGGTAAATAAGGGTATAAAATTCAATAAAGATGTGAGTGAAAGGACAATGAGCAAGACCAAAGTCCCAAACAAGAAAAACTGGTGGCAGTGCTTGGGCGGGAGCTCTTAATTACATGGGTATGGCTTGAAAGCGTCTTTAGATATCCTGTTTCTTTAGACCTCACCTCATGACAAACCTGCCCACACATCCACCCTCTGCTGTCTGCTGGCCTTCCTGAGCAAGAGAGAGGGAACTTAGGACCACTTCAATGTCTGCCTTCCTATGTCACTGTCAAAGGGATGTGCGGTCCACTCCCACAAGGCAGCCCCACTAACCATGTGGCTGATGGAGATGAAGCAGCTTCTTAGAAAGACTGGATCTACAGATCCACTGCATCTGCAATATTTCCTCTCTCAACTGCAAGATCTGATGCAAAATGGCATAATGCTAAAATTGTAAACCTGGGTTGTTGCATTCTTCTATACTTGCCTCTTATATCTCATACAAAATAAGTTTATCATTAAGTAAAAAAGGGAAATCTGGAGGGAAAAAGGTTTAATTTATTAGTTTTGATTTTGAAGTGAAAGTTGCTCAGTTGTATCTGACTCCTCTTGACCCCATGGACTATATATAGTCCATGGAATTCTCTAGGCCAGAATACTGGAGTCGGTAGCCTTTCCCTTCTCCAGATCTTTCCCAACCAAGGGATCGAACCCAGGTATCCCGCATTGCAGGCGGATTCTTTACCAGCTGAGCCACGAGGAGAGTCCAGTTTTGATTTTGAGCCCCCCCTTCAAAGCAGAGACAGAGGCAGAGGGAAAGCAGGGACGCGACCAGGTGTGCCTAACGAGCCTAATTAGCTGAAGCATACCACTGCCCTGCTGATGCCAGGCCTCAGGCTCTTCTCATCCACGTGGCCTCCTGATCAACAGTGCTCATTACTTCTACTTTATCAACACCATCTCCTCAGAACGCAAGACAACTCCAAGAGATCTCTCAAGCATAAGATCTGGGACTTCAGGCCCCAAGAGTCTCTTCAGGCCTCGTGTCCTCCTCTGGCTCTTGAGTCCTGCCTCCAGATCTCACCCACCCTACCGCCCATCTCTTCTATTCCTTCTCTCTGTGCCTGCCTGATTTATTTTGTAGTCTCATGAATGTGTCCCCCTTCAAAGACACATGTACATACAGCCCAGACTAGTGTGTTAGGGGTTCTGCAACTCACTGACATATATTTGTTGATAGAAACCAGAGCCTGGGGCGGGAATTCTGCCTGACGCTAACACGTCTCCTCTACCTCTGGAAGCTGCCACCGTAATCAGGTGGATGGGAGCCACCTGGTCCTACTCCATTACATTCTAGGGCGTCTGCTCAGGTGTTTGAAGCAATTTGGGCCTCCTGTTCCAGTGGCACTGGGACTCAGCTCTGGGAAAGCACCCTTCGTTCCTCCCGAGGACGCGTTTCCTGAAGAGTGGAGGCCCTTCTACTGGTTGCATTCAGGACCCGCTGCTGTTTAAAGCAGGTATTGCCACTGTCTGATAAAAGGAGCATGTGTGCAAAGGCCTCCAAGCTGGTGCGGTGTGGATGGGGGGGAGCCTGCAGTCGTGGCGGGGAGAAGGCCCTGCCCACGGGCTGTCCCTGGAACACTTTCCGGGGCCTCTGTCTCCCGGTCCCTGTCCCTGGAGGAGCCTCACTCAGGTTGTCCTGATACAGGCTGGCGCCTCGGGAGCCTGCCTCCTCCCTGTGTCCGCTCCACGGGTGCTTAAGGGGAAGGGTTGGCTTCCCGTCCACAGTCTACGATGACAAGCTGTGACTGTCACCTCCCCTCGCCCCAACCTAGGCACCCGAGTCTGCACTTGGCCCCGGCAGCTCCCCAGTTGGCTGCCTGTCAGAGGGCAGTGCGGCGGTCTGCAGCGCCCTGTTCTTTATGAATCTCCTCATTCCTCGGGCCACCTGCTCCCAGGCTCACTCTTCTTCTCTGAACCCCTGAGCTGTTCCCGCCAGCCTTCCCAGAGGCCTGGTTATGAGGCTGTGGGCATTTCTGGTTTTAGTTCTGGGCTCCAAGAGGGGAGGAGAAGGCAGCCTTTCTCTCTCGCGGAGGCCGAGGGCCGATGCCGGGCAGGAAGGCAGGGACCCAGAGGGGCCGCTGCAGGAGAATATGAGTGCGGGGCGACGGGAGGGCCAGACGGCCCAGGTCTCTGGGTGCCCTGGGCCTGCGGGCAGGAGGAGATGGGTCGGGAAGCCTTCAGATGGGGCAGCTCACGGCCGTCTGGTGCTGTGGCTGGGGAGGGTCCACACGTCCCAGGCTCCCGGGGTCAGCGAGGGGCCCGGGAAAGCCACTGCTGGCTCTTAGGAGAGCTGTCTCAGGAGTGTGGCGGGGCCTGAAGACAGACGGGGAAAGTCAGGAGCGAGTGGGCGGTTGGCAGGCGGAGACCCTCCGTGCACCCCACTCTCCCAGGATGCTGTGTGAGGAGGGAGAGGCAGGGCGCTGAGAGGCCGGGGACCTTCAGTCACAGGGAGAACCGGTTTGCGCTGCTTGTGTTTGTTTTTGCCCTAGAGACACATGCAGGTACTCAGAGGGAAGCCCGTGGAGAAAGGTGTTACAAAGGCCATGTTGACAAAGCCCAGTCCCCAGATCACACTGCAGGTGGGAGGGAGCCGCCTGTGGGAGCACAGGTGTGACCGCCGGGCTCCGTAAGGCCCACTGAGGCCCTTGGCTTAGAGTCTAAAGCTGGTACCTCCCGTGCTCTCCCCAAAGCTGCGTCTCACCATTTTAACAGGGCCTCGCCTGAAGCCCAGGGCAGCCTTGTGAGAATGTGGGTCCCCGAGGGGAAGGAAGAGGCTGAGTCACACACACAGACACACTCAGGCACACACAGACATACTCACGACAAACTCAGACACACACAGACACAATCACGACACACACAGACACACTCAAACACAGACACACTCAAACACACACACTCAGACACTCTCAGACAAACACAGACACACTCACGACACACACACACTCAGACACACTCACGACACACACAGACACACTCAGACAAACACAGACACACTCAGACACACACAGACACACTCAGACACACTCAGACACACTCACGACACACACAGACACACAGACACAGACACACTCAGACACACTCACGACACAGACTCAGACACACTCACGACACACACAGACACACTCAGACAAACACAGACACACTCAGACACACACAGACACACGACAAACTCAGACACACTCACAACACACACAGACACACTCACGACACAATCACGACACACTCAAACACATACACACTCAGACACACTCACGACACACACAGACACACAGACACAGACACACTCAGACACACTCACGACACAGACTCAGACACACTCACGACACACACAGACACACTCAGACAAACACAGACACACTCAGACACACACAGACACACACACGACACACTCAGACACACTCAGACACACAGACACACAACACAGACACACACAGACACACCAGACACACTCAGACACACATGGACTCACACACAGACACACGACACACACAGACACACACGACACACACAGACACACACACGACACACACAGACACACACAGACACACAGACACTCACACAGACACACGACACACACACAGACACACACACATGACACACTCAGACACACACAGACACACACACAACACACACAGACACACACAGACACAGGAACACACACATGACACACACAGACACACAGACACAGGAACACACACGACACACTCAGACACACACAGACACACTCAGACACACTCAGACACACGACAGCCAAACCCGCAGAGCGGGCATGAGTCAATTTTCCTTTCGGTCACCTATAAGGAAGAATTAGATGGAAAACAAGAAAACACCCAGGGTTAAAATAAACTCTGTCCTTTCTAACCTCCTGCCTACTGCACAGAGGCAAAAGCAGAGCAGAAGGAAGCCTCCAGCCTGGAGTTTATTGCCCTGGCTAGGGGCCTTGGTAAACACACAGCAGAGCTTCCTAACCAGGGCAGCAGGTCATCCACTGACCCTCTCAGCCCTGGGAATGAGTGGGGTCTGGGGTCAACTGCCTTGCCCGGTGCTCAGCTTATAGCCGTGCCAGGCTGTTTGTACTCATTGGATTGGTCCATAAGTTTGTTCAGGTTTTTCCATTAGATGTTATGGAAAAACCTGAATGAAATTTTGGGTCAACCCAATAAAAAGGCACTCTAATACCTGCTGAATGAATGACTGCCTGAATGTATTCATTTTGACACTTATTAGAAAAAAGATCTATAATTAGCATGTCAATCCTATTAAGATCATAAAAGGCACCGTTGAATGAGTGACAGTGTATTTACTGTGCACTGGAAAATATATATAATTAGTAAGTTAAACCTGTGCTTTCACAAATATTATCTAGGACAAGGCCAGGTTTAGAAAAAGAATTGATTTAAAGTTGATTTCAGGAGAAACAAAACAGCATAATTACAAGCAGATCGGACGGGCAGTCATCAGACAACATACACTGCCTCCCCCACTGCCTGCATCACTCACGAGGGCCTCGTCATTCTGTCTGGGTCTGGGGAGAGCAAGGAAACTCACTGAGAGTCAGGGACTATGTGTACATTTTGCATTGGTATCTCCTTCCACCTGGTACCAGCCTTCTGAATGTTACCCCTACAGAAGTACTATCAGCCTTAGAAAAGTTAAGTAACTTGTCCAAGATCAGTCAACAGTAAATGACAGAACCAGGATCCAAGCTTGGCTCCAGCTGACTTCACAGCCCCACTCCTGTCACTATCTTCCAGGCATGAAGGGTGAGTCAGTCTACAGCAAATGTTCAGCCTAGGGTAGGAAGAAGGAGGGAGTTTCCTTGAAAAGTTCTCTCTCTCCATGACGTCAGTGATGAGTCCATCTGCTGAGCCACGGTGGGGGATTTGAAAAGAAAACATCCTAACTGATAGAAAATGAAAAGAAATAAAGGAACTGGGAAAGAAAGACCCTTAGAGAGGGTGGAACACCCTTGGCACCCCGTGTCAGGAACTAATACTTGTGGATTTGTCCTCTGCAAGATACCTTTATACTGATCCCCACATTCAGGGGGAAGTCTCAAGTTTTCACAAGTCCGCTCCTTTCCTAGAGTAGGTACTCATGTGGCAGGTTGAATGGTGGTGCCCTGTGTTGGTCAGGGTTCTCCAGAGAAACAGAGCCAATAGGATGTATTGATTTATAAAGAGAGAAAGAGGTTTATTTTAAGGAATTGGAAAACGTGATTGTGGGGGCTTGGCAAGTCCAAAATCTGACGGGGGAAGTGCCAGGCAGAGACTCAGGGAAGAACTGCAGTTAGGCTGGAGACTCAGGAAGAGCAAATACTGCAGATCAAGTCCAAAGGCTGTCTGCTGGCAGAAGCGTCCTTCCTGCTCTGGGGAGGTCAGCCTTTGTTTTATCCAGGCCTTCAACTCATTGAGTGAGGCCCAATCATGGAGCATGGAGTACAATCCCTGAATAATGTTTGAGCACATATCTAGGCACCATGGACCAGAGAAACTGACATAAAATTCGCCCCATCACATCCCCCAATCCCTGTCAAATCCTTGGAACCAGTGGGAGTTACCCTATCTGAAAAAAAGAGTTTGGGGAATTAGGTATCTTGAGATAAGGAGATCATCCTGGACCACCCAGGCAAGCCTTTAGTCCAGTGATAAGGGTCCTTACAGGAGAGACACAGGGGAGAGATGCACGGGAGGGGAGAAGGCCACATGGAGACAGGAGACGGGAGTGACGAAACCACAGTCCAGTCAGCCCCTGGAATAAGGAGAGACTAAAAAAGTGCACTCCCCTGGAGCCTGCAGAGGGGGTGCAGCCCTGCCAGCCCCCAGATTTTGGACTTACAGCCTCTAGACTGAGGGATGCACTTAAACGTAGTTTGAAACCACCCAGTTTGCAGTGATTCCTTACAAGTGCCTGGGAAGCACATTCAGCAGGGCGATGGCGTGTGCCCCGCTCCCTCGCCTGCGCGCTGTGGTTCCTCAACCCAAGCTTGCACACACAGAAGGCAGGCGAGAGGCAGCCTCCTCTACTCCTTGTCCTTTTCGGGTACTTCAACTCCAGGCCCCCAGGCCCCTAACAGGACCCTTAGCCTCTCTTCTCCATCTCCTGCCCAGGCCCTACTCGGCCAAAACAGCTCAGTTCTGCTGCCCCAGTGCTAGCTGGCATCTCTTGCCTGCTCAGACCCCAATCCCCTGTGCCTGCTTCCTCCCAGACTGCCTGTCCCCAAGGACATGGTTCTGATTGTCTCTTTGGACCCAGGAGGACTTTATCCTTCTACTCAGCCTTGGACCCACCTGCTATCACCGTCACACAGGTCAGCAGCATTTGTCGTGTGTAATCTAGGAATCAGACCTCCTTCAAATTTCTAGAGGCACCTAAAAGTCCCTGCCCTCTGTAAGCTTACCCTCTGCTCAGTAATTTCCCATCTCCTTCTCTCCTGGAGCACATGGTCTGTGGCCGCCAGTTTCTAGCAATCCGCTTTGTACCTGCTCCTCCTCTGACTTTCTGGGGGCGAGGGTCCCCCTGTGCAGGATGTTAGGACCAGGATCTAATCGTGGGCCCTCTTTGAAGTGTCATTTGTTGATCTTTGCTATGGAAGAGGCCATAGGCCAAACGGAAGCAAGGCAGGGGCGAAATTTGACACAAAGACTTACTAATGGTTATTTCATCAAAGCTGTGTGTTATTTCATCAGCACAATGCTTAGCTATGTTTGTATAAGAAAAGATAAGAAACAATGATGTAATGTTTCCCAACCTAGAGTAGTTAAAATTTACATAAGTGTTAACACCGGCCCCAGAAAAACATGAGGTGAGGCCTGATTTTAAATCTACATCTTAAAAAAAAAAAAAAATCACATTGCAAAATCCACTTTAATAGTCAAGATATTTCATCAGTATAGATTTGGATTTATTTATCAATGTATCATATTGTTTGAGTACGAGTATGCTTTATCTACATCTGAATTTCTTTAAAAAAAATCCTCTTTCATATCTTTGGTATAGTCGTTCTCACTTTCAGTAATCTAAAACATGTTGAATCACTTTTAATAGTTCAAATAGTCTACCCTAGACATAAATCATGACGATTAAGAATGAACTGAGAAATTCCCTGGCGGCCCAGTAGTTAGGACACTGTGCTCTTTCTCCCAAGTGCCTAGGTTCAACCCCTGATCAGGGAATTAAATTAAGATCCCTGATCCAAGAGAGCTAAGCCACCCAGTGCAGCCAAAAACACAAAAACAAACAAAAAAACTGAACTGAACTTCAGCTCCAAAAAGGCCCTTCTGTCTGTCTCAGGTTTCTTTCGCCATCTCGTAAATACCTTATCCTAGCCCATTTTAATTTAATTCACAATTCATTGAATGCTACTATATTCATTGAGTGCTACTATGTACTTGGGGCTCCCCTTGTGGCTCAGCTGGTAAAGAATCTGCCTGCAATGCAAGAGACCTGGGTTTGATCCCTGGGCTGGGAAGATCCCCTGGAGAAGGGAAAGGCTCCCCACTCCAGTATTCTTGCCTGGAGAATTCCACAGACTGTACAGTCCTTGGGGTCGCAAAGAGTCAGACATGACTGAGCGAATTCACTTTCACGTGCTTGGCACTATGCATGATTCTGGAAATACAAAGATGAACAAAATAGCTGCGGTGATCCTAATGGGGTCTACTCCCAGTGTCAGGCTGGTGAACTGCCGGGTACTGGGGCAGCAGTTCTCAAAGTGGCCTCAGGACCCTTGGTAAGGGAGGAGGAGTCCCTGAGACTGGCTGTGTGTGAAGCCCAAATATATTTCCGTGTCCATCATAATACAGATTATTCTCTCTCTCTCCTTTTTTTTTTCTTTTTTTGCAGTATTTAGGGTCTATACAGTTGCTGTGAGGGCCAAGGTAGTGAATACCCAACTGTTTATTGCATCTAAGAGAAGCAAAAGATTAGGTTCCTGCAAGCCTCTGGTCACAACATTTTTGTCAACTGATTGATATATAACCTTGTTTGGTGTGTGTTTCTGTTTAAAAGACAACTTACTGAGAGAGAATGGGAAACTTCTAGGGTATCTCCCATCTACTTCCCTGCCTTCCCTGGGAGGATGTCATGGTATGATTTCTCAGGCCTTCCAGGTTCTGAGGAGGAAGGGGCTTCTGCCCCAGTCCCCTCAAAATAGGGCTTCAGAGTGTGAACCTCCTTGCTGCAGTCTGGAGCAGGCTCCAGCAGGAAGACGCCCCACATCCCGCTTTGCGGTCAATGGGCCGTTGGTCTGTGTTGTCATTCTGGATGTCTGTGCAGGGACCAGGGGAGTTGGCACCTAAAAGTAACCTGTTGTATGTTTACTCTCCAGCCAGCTGGGCCCATCTGTGGCCTGATGTGTGCTTAACGAATATGAGCAACCGAAGGGCATCTGTCGCATGAGTGGCCTGCCCAGGGACACTGCTCACAGCTGAGCCATGGGGCCCCCAGAGCCGCAGCCTGAAAACCAGCCATGAGACTATTTCCCAGGTCAGCTCTCAGAGAGGTGCTTTACCGATAGAGACTAGAAACGAAGGGAGAGGACTTTTTAAAGCCGTGTTTTTATGTGAGAAAAAGCAAACTGGATGTGAAGAGATGAATGGGAATGAAGAGCGGACATTAATCAGAAAATGCCGCCGAGGGTTATGTAGACCCTTCATCACATTTGGGAAATGTAAGAGAATTTTTGAGCTATTTTAAAATTACTCTTTCTTTGCCCAGCTGGTTTCTCCGGTTGCAGCACTGCTTCAAGACCAGACCACGGTTTGCTTCAGAGTCCGTAAATACTGATATGTAATGATTAACTAGGAATTTCTGTGCCTGGAGGGGAATCCATGATGCCTAACACTCCTGAACTTCCCAACCAAATTGCAGGAGACAATTCTGTTACTTTTTATGTAGTTATAAATTCCATCAGCTTTCTACATGCAAATATTTCAGTGGAATTTCTTAGTAGGAATATTCCCATCATTTGGTATTGTGCTCAGTCGTGTCTGACTGCAACCTTTTGGACTGTAGTCTGCCAGGCTCCTCTGTCCATGGGATTTTCCAGGCAAGAATATTGAAGTGGGTTGCCATTTCCTCCTCCAGGGGTTCTTCCTGACCCAGGAATCGAACCTGCAACTCCTGTGTCTCCTGCATTGAAGGCAGATTTTTCACCTGCTGAGCCATCAAGGAATCCCATCATTTGGGGCAGAAGAAATTTTTATTGTGCAGGACAATTTCTGACATTGCAAAAAAGTTCCTATCTAGTAAAACTAAAAGCATCTGTTGCTTATCGTGATAAATAAAGATTATCCCCCCATACACATTTTGTAATATACCCCTTTGGGGTATGGAACTGCCTCCCTTGAGAATGATTGCCACCCAGAAGTAGATGGAGGATACCTGGGAATTTCAGCTCCAGTCTCCCTCAGCCTAACCCTGTCATAATGTTTATTTCACTTCTGCAGTCATCTTGATGTGCTGAGTAAAGGGCCCCATCCTGAGAGGCATTGTTATGAAGTAAACACTTGGGCCCCCCAAACTCACATGTTGAACTCCTCCCAAATATGATGTCTTGGGAAGTGGGGCCTTCACTGAAGTGGCAGTAGCATGAGAGGTTTTTTGTTTCACCGTCACATGCGATGCTTGCTCTGGATTTTGGTTGTACTTTAATGAGTTAAGGAAGTTTCCAGATATCCTACATGACAAAAAGAGCTTTTCTCTTGGTTTCAGTTTTTTTTTTAATTGGGAACAGGTGTAGCAAACACTTGTTCAAAATCTAATTTTTGTAATTTTTCTCTTTTGTTAATGTAACGTCATATCAAAAGACCTCTAAAGCTGGATCATACTCACAGTCCAGAGACAAACGTTTGGTCATTTGGTATTATTCTTTTCATACATAGTTAGATTTTATTTACTATTCTCTAAGTCAATTTCATTTCTCAGTTTGTGCCAGCCTGTGATAGCTCAGTAAATGTGCTAGCTTATGCTCAGCTATATGCTCCGCATTCCATTCGTCCATTTTTAAAAACAGCAGTATAGAGTGTTCTCTTCTTAAAAACTGATTATTTTTCTCTTTTGGCTGTGCAGCTTGCAGGATCTTACCTTCTCAACCAGGGATAGAACCCCAAACCCCGACAGTGAAAGCTCCAGACCACCAGACCACCAGGAAATTCCCCCAAATAGATTACTTCTAATCTTAGCTTTCCTTAAGTAGAATGTACAGTTATGTGGTAGATAAGGCTAGGATGGTGATGTGTTCAAATGAACATATGCCAGTGAAATCAAAATAAGCAAATCATCAGCCTATATCCCTTGCCACCAATCTGGCTATGGGGGGGTTCCTGAGCCCCCAAAATATAAGATTCCTCCCTTATAAAATGTATCAACAGTTTTCAGTCTTAATGCAGCTTAGATAAAGTGCAACAGTATTGATTTTCCTTCAGTCTCAGGAAACTAAGGGTTTTAAGTATCTTGAGGCCTGTGACTGTGAAGGAAGCTTAAATCCTTGTTTAATCTTTTTATTTTCCTTCTTTGCTCTAAACAATACATCAGTAAATGTTTTGCCTGTGTGTGAAACCAATATGAAGAACACTATTGAGATTATGATCGTAGATTTTTGTTTCTACCTTTAAGAAACTCAGAAGAAAATAATTTTTCTAGTGGAAAATAAAATCATCAGGTAGACTAGTGCATCCAAAACAGGAAACTAACACTCAGACACTGACTGTCCTACTTTTAAGCTACTGTCCGGGCAGACAGGAAGAGTTGAGAGTCACATTTTTTTTTTTCTTCCTTTTCAGAGAGGCGGAGCTCAAGATTTAGTTTGGAATTCAGACGCCTATTTATGACTGCTCTGGGGTAGTTAAGCCAAGAGAACACACGGCTGCTCTGCTCACTGATTCAAGCACCAGGTACGGGATGGACATTAACGTGTATGCTCACCACGCCTCGGGCCTTCCCGGCCCCCATGTAAGTAACTTAGAGATTTGACAGACTTATCATTGAACATGCAATCAGGAAAAAAAGAAGAAAATGACCAGGAGGAAGAGGAAAAGCTTTGGTTTAAATCTATCACACCTAGCAGTTTTTTCTAGTGTCATTTTTTTTTAGCTCCTGACTCCTGGCAGCAGGAATTCTCTGGTGTCTAGTTGTCTCTGAGTTCCTGTGTTGAAACTCACTGTCTCCTTTTGAGACATCTGCTTCATAAATGTAGTTTTTTTCCGTAAGTGCAGTGTTTACTGCAATTTTATTTTTTCCTTTGCTTTTGAAACATGGTCTATTGAGCTGCCTGGCTTGTAGCACTTTTTCTCCCAGCTATTTACCTATTGACTGATTATACTGGTGATGGAAGTATATTTATTTTGAATTTAATTAGTATCTGAGCCAAATTAAATGGAAATTGCTTACATTTATCAATATATGTCATATCATATGCTATAGTATAACATAGCTTATTTAACCTCATATTTTTACTGAGAAATACAGAAATGCAGATGTTTCAGAAAATCATTATCACAATTCAATTTGGTAATTATTAAAAAATGCCTCTATATATTCAGTTTAAAGATCATTTATAGTTAAGGAATTGATTTATAAGCACCTTTCAATTAAATTATGTCATTCTTGCAATTATTTTCAACACAGTCTACTAGTTATATCACTAATGCCTAATTTCAATTTATCTTCTTCAATGAAAATTTATTATTTTTTATTTTTTAGTAGCACTTCCATTTAAATTCAGGGTCAGATTTTCTGACCTTCTAGTTGGAACTTTGTAGGTTTTTTTTCCCCTCATGTCATCAGTGAAATGTGAGAAATGGTTGTCTCTGATTACAAAGTTACTCCTATTTTTTCAAGTGACTGCTTTTTTAAAATGCACTTTGAAATGACCATTTCATCCATCTGCCTAATGTTTGGTCATTCTACAAGCACATCAGTTGTGAAATACTCCATGTGGCCTCTTTCAAGTCACTCTCCCACTTGATGGTCCAACCATATTTTCCAATATTTCTCAACGAAACTTCTCCTGTCAGGGCTGATCTCAACCCCTCCTTACTATCTTCAACCACACTGTATTCTCATCTAGGAAAATGCTCACTTATAAGGTAAAATGGGTAGGATTTCATGGCAAACTGAGTTTGAGAAAGAAAAGAGAAGTCAGGAGCGGCTCCCAGGTTACGGGGAGGGTGACTACCATCACTGAAAATCAGACTGGAGAAAGGCCAGGTGTCGGGGGAGAGGAGACCTTCGCTGCGGCAAACTGAATTGAAATGCCCATGGAACACATGTGGAAAAAGGTATCCTAAAAGGAGTTGGATATTTGGATTTGGACTGAGAAGACTGGGCCACAAATTCAGATTTAGAAATAATGTTAATGGTTGTTTTTTAAGCCCCGCAAGTAGCTGAGATCACATTGTGCACTAAAATGAGATGAAAGGAAGGCTAAATAGGGGAGCCTGGAAAACTTTAAGTAGGGGTTTGGTGACATATAGCAGTCAGAGAAATTGGAGGTAGGTGGAAAATCAGGAGATGTCATGAAGCCCAGGAAGAAGAAAGCTTTGAGAATAAAGCAGTGAGGACTTCCCTCGTGTTCCAATGGCTAAAACTCTGAGCTCCCAATGCAGGGGGGCACAGGTTCGATCTCTGGTCAGGGAAGTAGATCCCGCATGCTGCAGTGAGGACTAAAGAGCCCATGTGCTGCAACTAATACGCGGCACAGTCAAACAAACTAATTAACAACCACAGCAAAAAAAGATAAAGCTGCGACCGTAAGTGTAGAGAAGGGGTTAAGAGAATGGGAGGTGGAAGGCAGAGAAGATTCTGTGCATGGGCAGTTGGATGAAGTGAGCTGGAAAAGAGGGAACCCGGCCAGGACACACCACAGTTTATTGTAACATAAGGGGCAATAAACTGGGTTTCCACGGAACTTTACTCCTTAAACAATGTTGAAAAGTCTGTTTAAGAGTTACGTAACCACTCTATATAAAATATTACAGAAAGAGTTCTGAACTGGCCAAGAGTAGAAGTATAACAAACTGGGAGCCAGGAACATAATAAAAATCTGGTGAAACAGGTAGGACAAGAAATGTAGTTGGCTGCACGGGCCAAGAGTGAACAGTGTATTTCAAGACAGATACACATTTTATTGGGTGAGTTATACCTACCACAGGTCTGTCTCTCCAACCCATCTCTTGCTTCAGGTCCTCAATCACAAATTCAACATATCCACATCAGACTTCATTGTCTTCTCACCTACTCCAGCCCATCCCCAACCTGCTTCTCTACTTCAGCTACCCCATTGTTAAAAGTGCAAACCTGTGTCATTCATTCTTTTCCATTGTCATCTTTTCCGTCTCATCTCTGCCATCAAGTTACGTCCATTTTTCCTTCACATTCTTTTTTTTTGACAGGTAAGTAGGATTTATTGGTGGGCATGAGTAAGGAGGGAACAATGTCAAGGCTCTCATGAGTGCAGGCCGCTGTTTATCCAGATTAAGAATGTATTTGACCCCACAGTCATCTAAGATGAGCCGCTTTTCTGCCACCGTGTTTTCAAATTCTTCCACATTAAACTGAGTAAATCCCCACTTCTTGGAGACGCAGGTCTCCTGGCAGCCCAGGCACTTGAATTTGGCCCTGTGTAGGGCCTCAACTGGGCTTCCCTGGTGGATCAGACAGTAAAGAATCCACCTGCAATGTGGGAGACCTGGGTTTGATCCCTGGATTGGGAAGATCCCCTGGAGGAGGGCATGGCAACCCCCTCCAGAATCCACATGGACAGAGGAGCCTGGCAGGATAAGTCCATGGGGTCACAAAGAGTTGGTCATGCTGCTGCTAAGTCGCGTCTGACTCTGTGCGACCCCATAGATGGCAGCCCACCAGGCTCCTCTGTCCCTGGGATTCTCCAGGCAAGAATACTGGAGTGGGTTGCCATTTCCTTCTCCAATGCATGAAAGTGAAAAGTTAAAGTGAAGTCGCTCAGTCGTGTCCAGCTCTTTGCAACCCCATGGTCTGTAGCCTACCAGGCTCCTCCATCCATGGGATTTTCCAGGCAAGAGTACTGGAGTGGGGTGCCATTGCCTTCTCCCAACTGGACATGACTGATCGACTAAGCACAGTAAAGGGCCTCAATCACATACTCCTTGTTCTGCAACTTGGACATTATGATTTGGCCAATGTGGACCCTGGCCACTCTGCCCTGGGGCTTCTTTGGAAAGGCACTACACACACCTGTCTGGAACCTAGATTGGGGACAGCATGCCAATCATAAATGTCTACTGGAAAGGGCTGACTCCAAGGTACCTTAGGGCAACCTGTACAGGCTACAGGCTTCCGACACTACTAAGGAGGCTGCTGTTTGAAGCCCTTGCACACTAGACTCCTTGGGGAAAAGAGCACAGCTGGTTCAATGGGCTGCAAATCTCTACATTCTTTTGACTCCATTCTCTTGCTTTGCAGTCCTACCGCCACCACTACCATGCTGAAATCGTATTCTTAACTGGCCTACCTTCTCCCAGTCCTTCCTCCTCTTCCCTACCCATCTCCCACACCTCTAATGAAGTAAATCTGATCAGGTCCCTTGTGCCATGGCTGGCTGATTAAAAAAAACCTCCCAGTCCCAGTGATGAGAAAGAAGGTTCCACCTCCTTAGCATGACATCTTGCTAACCAGCCGTGCCCCACATCTTAGCTGCATCTCAAGACTTTCTGCCTCCTCACATCCACCTTCTAACACTGCTAAGTTTCTCCTTGTTCTTCAACTCACCATGTTCCTTTACATTTGATTTATGCTAAAGCCTGTGCAATAGTATTGTTCTACTAAGATCATTAGCTTGGGTGCTGGAGGAGGGCCAATGGGAGAAGTTGAATATATGTGATTAGGACCAGCCATAGAGAAAAGAAGAGAGGTGGCCATGACCTTTGCTAAGAGATGTGATCCCACATTGAACTCAGCACTTATTAGACTGTATTTCTTAGATAAATCACAATTCAAGGGAAACAAGTATATCTAATAGAGATAACTTCAAAAAATTTGTAATTTGATGAGAGAAATAAGACATAGAATGAGGCAACTAGTGTGACTGATTTTTCCTGGGTTCATTATAAAACATCAGATTAATTGCTTTACACTCATAAATATATCACTGACTCAATGGACATGAGTTTGAGCAAACTACGGGAGATAGTGAAGGACAAGTAAGCCTGGCGTGCTGCAATCCACTGGGTTGCAAAGAGTTAGACATGACTTAGCAACTAAACAATCACAACACACATATATACAGACATTCAAAGATACTAGATAACTAATAATATATGTGAGACATGGTGGCAGAATAGCAGCTCATCCTGGATGGCTGTGGGATCAAGACAAGTCCTACAGGAATTTGGAGGAAGACAAGAATATCTGGGGACAGAGTGTTCAGGTTACGTTCACAACAGAGCTAGGACTTGCAGTCTGAGTAGGGCATATGTAGCAGGAGGAATAACCTCCTAATTATGGGAAATGACACAGACAGGCAGAAGAGGATGTGTGCAGGGCAGAAGAATCCAGGTAGGGGAATTATGCTGATAAGGACAGGAAGACGTCAGCGTGTGATTTGGGGTCCCTTCAACGTGTACTTTGATCCCCTAGGCATACCTACATACTTTACCTAGCAGAGAAGGGGTACCACTGAAGTTTTTTTTTTTTGGTGACACCTAGTTCTCCGGCCATGGATGAACCTGTGCCCTGCAGTGAAACTGCAGTCTTAACCAGTGGACAATAGTTGAATGCAGTCTTTTAAGGAGATTAATCAGGCAGTAGTGTGCAGGACAGATTAGAAAAGCAAGGGAATTCAGGCTGAATGAGTGGTAGAAGCACAGTAATCTAGGTCTGAGATGTCATAGTTTTTTATTCTAAGACACTATTGAATAATAGGGTTTTGTAATAAAAAGCTCTACATTAAATGTTTACACTGATTATAAAATTTT